ACTCTGGGGTGTTGATATCCTCATCCTCTTGGAGTCCTTTGCCAGCGCCAATCCCAACCATTTGTTGGGCATGAGCATTGAGCGGAAAACGCTCCTCCAAAATGGCCCATTTTCCGTAATGGCCGGCCTTAGTAGGAGCAGTAGCTTTTCTCTTGCCTTTACCATCGTCTTTCTTAGGAGACATATTCGTACCTACATAATTGAACGTTCCTCAGTCATAGAGAATATGAATCAATTCAAAACATGGTCTTGCTACTCCACACTTAAGAGTTCATGACATGATGTTCAAACATTTTGAGGCTACTCACACTTCACCTCTTTATTTTAGCATTAGAATCAACAACAACAACAACCCAGTATAATCCCACTTGTAGGGTCTGGGGAGGGTAGTGTGTATGCAGACCTTACCCCTACCCTGGGGTAGAGAGGCTATTTCCGATAGACCCTCGACTCCCTCCCTCCAAGAACTCCCCACTTTGCTCTTGGGGAGACTCGAACTCACAACCTCTTGGTTGGAAGTGGAGGGTGCTCACCACTTTAGCATTAGAATCAAGCAATGGAAAAAATGATATTTACTGTAATTGCGATGTATATAGCTACCGGTGAGTCCACCCAAACTTAAGATTCGAGTGGCGCAAGGCGTCATAGCAATAGTATTACAATCCCTGAGACTAGAACTCCATTGGGGAAAAGAATGCCTTTGAGGCATTTTGACATACACATAGCGTGCACTAATGCCATGAAATTGCTTGTAGGGATGAGGGGCTGCCTCACCCTCCCAAATCGGCTTAGGGATTTCATGTTACCACCCTTGTACATAACAACAATACCAATCCTATAGGGTTATGGGATTATGGCGAAGAAGCATAATGTAACAATGAAGATATACCCAAAAGTTGTGGAATTGCATTAATTAACTCAATTCGAATTTTTGACAAAGAAAAGAGTTAGAAACATACCTTAGATGCTTAGGAGGAGGAAGTGCTCTTCAATTGAAGTTTCAAGTAACTGAAGGAAAGGATGAGTGAAAGTCTTCAATGGAGTTTGTATGTGTTATATTTTAACTAAGGTGGGTATGTGTTTATGTGGTGTTTTAATAGAACTAAGTTAGAAGAAAATCAAGGTAAACAAAATTAAGTTGCTACACTTACCTGCGCGCCGCGAGCTATACAACGAGATGGATAGCAGGCTTTGCGAGGTCTGCCGCGAGGTGGTCCTCGCTACATCCCTCGTGAAGCGAGCTCTACAGCGAGCTGGGAAGCTGGCGTCGCGAGGTCTGTCACGAGGTGGACCTCGCTAACCCCCTGGCGACGCGAGCTGTATAGTAAGATGAAGGGATGGCGACGCGCGTTTTGTTGCTAGGTCCACTGTGCATTTTGCTGGGCAACATGAGGTATGCAACTTTGTTTGGAGCGTACGTATGCAATTCTTATTTCGTTTTGTGATCGACTCCAAGCGCAATGACTTCCCAACGTGCTCCATTATCTGTTCAAACACCAAGACTTAACTAAAACTTGTTAGTGACTAAAAACAAAGAGAAAATTCTAGTTAAGCTAAAATAAACTACAAATTGGGTTGCCTCCCAACGAGCGCCTGATTTAACGTCGCGGCACGATGTGAATCAACTTTACCACTTTTCTTTCCACTTCGAACTTATGAATTGGACCCCAAATTTTGCTTCAAGCTTATGATTATGCTCCCGGGGTGGTGGAACGAATCTAACTGGCCCAAGAAAATAATGTAGTATTCTGCATTTCTTGGCCTTTAGATGAGGTGTGTAATCCTTACTTTCTAGCAAGAAGAATTCCATAATATAGTCACCTTGTTCCTCATTCCTTGACTCCTCAAGTGGCTCGGATGACTCTATTTCTATATCATCATCCAAACACAATGTGGAAAAATGCTTGAAGTGTGGACCAATGAGCTCAACTACATGAACATTGGGACTGTCTACATGATCAACACCAATGACACTAGAGTCAACTAAATATGTATCATCAATATCCTTGGTTGACTCTAGTATCTCGTCTATAACATCGGCATCCTCAAATTCTAGTTTGCTTGATTGTTGGTGTTCTACTCTGACCTCCTCCATTAGAACCTCAATTTCGGTATCTAATTCATGCTCTTCTTGGCTACTATCCACAATATTGGCTTGTTAAGCATTAAATGCTCAACTAATTGAGTCATTTGTGCCTCCAGGTTATGAATAGTTGCCTCTTGCCTTTGGATAGTATCCTATAGCCTTTGCATTTGCAATTGTTTGTTATTACTTTGTTCCATGAAATACTTTAACATATTTTTGATCTCATTCAGGTCAGCTTCCCTGGGTTCTTTGTTCCTATTAACTTCACAAAAAAATGTAGAACTATCATAATAAAGGGTTGGGGGAGGATAATAAATACATGCACAGCCATAAAAATGACCATCTTGACCACCACAAACATCACATACATTTTACACATAAGATTGCGTTGGTGCACATAACTCGCTCTCGGAAATATTTTGACAATTTTGCCACAGGTAATTTCCTCCACGATAAGCACAAGGAAGATCAACACTAGAATTACCAACATCGAAACTCTCATAATTCCAAGATGCCATATTTTTCAAATCAACAAGTAAAACTAAAATTTAAAAAAAAAATCAAATACAAAAAATAAAAATAAAATAAAAGTTCAAACATGAAACCTAGCAATATGTACAACTACAGCTACACTGTTAGTTCCCCGGCAACGGCGCCAACATTTGGTCACACCCAACTATGCCTTATAAAAAGGACTAAGCGACCGTTACAAATATAATCCGGTTTACAAGTCCGGAGTCGAATCCCACAGAGAACTAAGGCTTAGCTACAGTTGTTCAATATTGCTAAGAAGCACAAGTCCAAACAATTTTTTAGTTATAAAGATTTGATTTTTATTTCTACTAATTAATTAACAAATATTATAAAGCAGCAAAATTATCAACTAACAAGAATGAAATTAGAGACAAGACTAAGGAGGTCTAGAGTTATGATTTCCCCAATTGTTGGAATCCTTCCCCTACATCTTCTGTAATTTTGCCTAAGTATTCTCTACCGATCGTGAGTACTTCGAGTGTCATAATTCTCTCTCGAGAAACTACCATAATTTACTAGATGTATTCTCTCAAACTACGCTAGCTGGCACTAATTCACCGCTCACTACGATCGCACCAAGGTTTCGTTATCTCTAATCCCGCCTTTAAACCCTCTGTATTGATCTCTCACATACGTTAGTAGTGATGTTGTTTAACAACTACCTAAATGCATACTCTCTCTCGAGCAATATACACACTAAATAGGCACAGTTAATTGATGGCCATTAAATCAACAATAATAAACACGTAGTTGAACAAGTAGAAAAATCCAACGGCTCAATTATATAAAAGCATAACAAGAATTTATCCTACAAAAGGTTCTTTCAAAACTCTAGATAACAAATTATCTATTCATAATAGTATGCAAAACTACAATACTAAAATTCATAACCAATAATGAAAATAGGAAAAAAGAAGTGAAAAACTCATAGAAGAATTCTTTGCCTTGCTCCTGGTGTGTTCTGGCCTCCTTAGATCGAAATCCAACTCCAAAAATCGTCCCATTTGGTTGAATCTGCCCGAAAAATGGCTCTCCCCCATTCAGATATGTTTAGAGAGTATTTATAGGTTAGGGTTGAAGTCCAAATCCGGGTCGGAGTCTTCTAACCCGCGATTTTTAATTATCGGGCTATAGACCTTGCGAAACCTGGTCTGTAGCGCGGTCAACCTAGCTATAGACCTCGCGAAGTCTGGTCCATAGCGCGGTCAACCTGGCTATAGATCTCGCGAAGCTTGGTGTATAGCGCGGTCAACCTGGCTATAGACCTCGCGAAGCCTGGTCTATAGCTCGATCAACCTGGCTATAGACCTCGCGAATCCTGGTCTATAGCACGGTCAACCTGGCTATAGACCTCGCAAAGCCTGGTTTGTAGCATGGTTTGGGTATTTGGCATTTTTATGTTTTTTTCTTGCATTTTCGTCTTCTTTTTGTGCGACCTTCACTCGTCTTTGTCTTTCAATGCTCCTACACATAAAACAATACAATTTAGCTCAAATGTCACACAATTAATCTTAAACCAACAAAATATAGTGCGAGTAATGTACTAAAAGTATAAGATTTTGGCCTAACATCAGTGATCTTGAATTTTTTACCTTGATTGCTCCACGGACAGAACTTCAAGTTTAGCAAGTGTTGCCTCTTGTTTGTCCCATGGACAAAACTTTTGATTTTTGACCTTACAGGTTTGTCCATAGGACAAGTGAATAAATCAAAACTACCTATTTTCAAGATTATTGGGTGTAATTTCCCGAGCTCTATGCGCGTCATATCATTGTGCCCCCCTCCCCCCCCCCCCACGAACATTTGCAACCATTGGGGGTGGATTTTGTTAATTTATCATTAATTGTGCTTAGAGAGTGACCAGATATTAGATCCTTGTTTCGAAAGAATGAGAAATGATAATAAGGGCTCCATTGTTAATATTAAGATCAAACATGTATGAATTTAAATATTCATTTGAATATTAAAAGGTTGTATTTAGATCTAAACATTGAATATTACTAGTGATTGCTATTGTTTCTCTATCGTCCCTTTTTTTAAAAATTTTTTAGCCGAAGGTCTTTCGGAAACAGCCTCTCTACCTTCATAGGTAAGGGTAAGGTTTGTGTACACACTATCCTCCCCAAACCCCACTTACGAAATTTCACTGGGTTGTTGTTGTTGATGATGATGTCTTAGATGTGAACATTCTTTTCTTAATTTGTAACAGTACAAAATTCAAAAACATATAAAATATAAATAAATCACTTTTTTGTAATCCAACAATTGAATTACAAAATAATCGACCAACAAATTGAATTCAACAACCCAATAATCAACAAGACCCAATTGAATTTTCTAACCTTTTTTCGATCCCAACAATGGTGGATACCACTTTTTTTTAATCGAACAGCCAAACCTTTATTCAATAGTGTAAAAAAGATTACATGTGGAAAAGGGGAACACAATGTTTGCCCCTTTCATACAGTAGCTTACAAACTCATAATTCATACTAACCAAAGCTTTATTCAAAAGAAAACTCAGGAATCAAACATGATTATGCAATTATTCTTAAATACAAAGTAGTAAATACTAAAATATTCAGTTAACTATGCGACAATTCTTCCTAATTTCACCCTTCAACTCATTTAGAGTATTAATATTCCCCATTTTCACCATAGACTTTGCAAATTGTTGGAAGAAAAGTCCCTCATTTTCAGCAAAACTCTTCACCAATTCCATTGTCTTTTGTACATTCCCAGTGAAAAGCACTTCATCTGAGTTCAAAAGACCTTTGCCATTTAACAAGTGCTTGAAATATGAGTTATCAAATTTGACAGGGGAAGCAACATCTAGAGGAGAAATGTTATTGTCTCCACCCTTTGTTGGACAAATTGATTTTAAACCATAGTAGTAATTTCTCTCTAGAGTTGCATCTGGCAAATTGTCACCATTTTGATTGTATAGCCTTTGCCTAAATGACACACATCTTGCCATCCCTATGGTGTGCCCTCCTGTAATATCGTGTTAAAAGAGTCATTATGCAATATAGTTACAATACTATTTTTTGTCTCGTTAAAATAACTGAACTTTGAAGGGAGCCTTGGCGTAACTGGTAAAGTTGTTGCCATGTGACCAGGAGGTAACGGGTTCGAGCCGTGAAAAAAGCCTCTTGCAGAAATGCAGGGTAACATTGCGTACAATAAACCCTTGTAGTTTGACCCTTTTCCGGACCCCGTACATAGCGGGAGCTTAGAGCACCGGCTGCCCTAAAATAACTGAACTTTATCCACTATAACAGTAAAGTAAAGTAGCTTACCAGAAAGAGAAACAAGGTCTTCTTCCTTAAGGCCTTGTTTGTTGAAAAGATTCATGAGGTTTTGGATTGTTGAATTTGGTCCAGGGATGGCAACGTTTGCTTTGTTGAAGTCTGCTATCTTTGAGTCCTTTCTTCCTAGTGGCACTTCCCAAAATGGTCCACCACTCTACTCCACCATATTAAGCATCATTTTTATTAGCAAAAAATCTTGAATTGACCGGTACTTAGTTGGCGTTTGGACATAAAAATTATAATTTTTGGAAAAAAATAGTTTTTGGAGTTAAGTTGAAAAATAATATTTGAAATTTGAAATTATATTTAAATATGCATTTTACTTGAAAAAATATTGTAGTATTGTGAGTGCGGAAAAAAATTGTTTTGAAAATTTTGAAAAAGTGGTCGTTTGGAGTTCATGTTTGGACATGAAAATTTTGAAAAACTTTGGTTCCGCTACTGATATTATGCATTGTTTGGAGTTTAGGTGCTTACTAGGAGGACGGCGTTACGAGCAACAAGGGCTAGAATATCAGCACAAGAGACAGTGTGAGGACAAACATGTTCCAGTTTATCTTTAATCTCATCAATCACTTCAAATCCCCTAGCAGAATTCTTGTTTGGTGCAGCATCCTTTTCACTTCTGAATTCACTATTCCCATCCAATAATATGGATGCATCACATCCCTATAGCAGAAGAAAAAAAATATTTAACATCTATAATTAATGTTGTAACGTAACACATGTAACAACATTTAACTGTCTATAGTAAGTCTAATTTAGTAATTTAGAAAATAAAGCAAATAATTCATGTCAAAATAGATGCTTTATTTGTACATCGGCTCTTCGACAAGTCTAATTATCCCTGTCTTTGTTTATATCTCGGGTTGGAACAAATTACTATAATTCGTCCCGCTTATGGATTAGTCGACATTTTTTCACAAATTTTACGAACGGAAGCTCTTATTTGTATATTTCTCATCCCTTGCCTTAATTCTGACTCTATTTTTTGGAAGAAAATAAGTTTCTTGAAAATTTTCATCGGTTCAAATCCAATAAGAGGCTTTGTAAAACTCCAATTTAGTATTCATATTTGATTCATATTTGAGGGGAGAATTGTATTTTTATTTGTAATAAAAAAAAAAAAGTAACTATGCAAAAATTGAAATTCAAAAATGAAGTGGAAAAGATACAAAATAAAAAAATCAATATCACTAATTCTGCTACTCTATCGAGTTAAAACACAGTAATGATGTAAAAATTCTTTACACTGTCAATCAGTGTAACGCGACTAAAATCCAAAAGTTATACCTGGACAAAGCAGTCATGGAAGTAAAGTCTTAGTAGAGAAGCAGCCATTCTTGAATCTTTAGCAATGGCCTCTTCTAAAACAGACATGACAATTTCATTTGCTTGAGGACATGTGAATTGGTAGAACTGTGGATAAAGATTAGCATAGTCACCACCAAAATTGGAAGTGGAAGCTGAAAATGCTTGGAATATAGATAGAAAGAACATTACTACAAGGATTAAACCAAGTCCAAAAGAAGCCATTTGGTGATATTGAGAAACTAAGAAAATAAATCAATTCTTGTTTGATGAATTGAACTTGCCCTGTGTTTATTTGACAAATGCATGGAAATATTTATAGTAAGTCAGATGCTTTTGATAGTAAAACCGTGATATAGTCAAGTCGTTCGACGTACTTTAAAGAAATGTCTCTTTTAAGTGTTTTTGGTTTCAGTTCTACCTGCTCCCAGGGCCGGATCCAGTGTAATGTTACCGGGTTCAACACAAACCCAGTACTTTCATCGCGAAGCATAATTTTTTGTGTAAAAATTTACTATAATTACAATAAATATTAGGTCTGTACCCATAATTTTAACAATACAACAGGTTCAATTTCAAGAACCTTAAAGATTGAACCCATAAAATTTAAACATTGGATCTGACTCTACCCGCTCCAATGAACAAAATAAGGAATAAGACGTCAACCATGTTTGGAGTTTGAACAAGTTTTGAACTTTCCTTGTCTTGGCTGTTTCTTCAAAATGTTGCAAGATTAGTTCGAGCTTGTAAAGAAGAAAGAGTTAACGAATTTGGATAAATATTATAGGTTCTTGTCAATCTACTCATCGCATTATTCTTCAAATAACTAATTACTTAATGCTTTGGTCTATTTGGAAATCCCAACTTCAAATCACTACGAATCTCCTTTCCAAATTGAGTTATTACATAAAGTAACGGCTTGTTTACTGATTCGAATAGTAATCCTCAACCATATCTGACGTAGTTGATATTGCTCCACGCCACCCAAAAATAAAGAACTTGATCTTCAAAATGATTCGAGATTTTGTATAAACATGCACAGCGATCAATTGTTTTAATAACAATTAAGCTACAATTTCAAACAAGTTGGGACAACTATATAAATAATCATTGAACTTGTCGCTTCGTTTATGCTCATCTCATACAAACAAATACAAAACAAAAACAAAACAAAAAAAAAAAACAAGGAACATATCGCTAAAATATATATGGCCTTAGGTGAAAATTGTGAAAATTTCTCTCAATGTCCAATTTACTGAATTGAGTCTACTAATGTTACAGAGAGGGCATTGCAAATTGGCAAAGCAGATGACGCTTTTGATGGCCTTATATGATTATGTGAGAAACTGTATAAAGGTTAATTTTCTCTTAAGTTATCAGTTAACAGTCTCTTAGCTCATGAATGTATCATAAACTAATTTATGGAAGTTGGCTATGCAGGACGCGGAATGTGCTCCAAGACCTAGATGGTTAATTGAGTATCATTAACCTCTATAATATTTAGATTAACAATTGTAGTAGTAATCATTTTGGACAATAGTAGGGTCTTGAAATTAATTAATTACTACATGTAAAGTTTTGTTATGTTCTGAATATATCAATAACCATTCCTTTTGCAGATAAAACTGCAATTTCATACAGCTCAGTGAGACAAACCAGGTCAAACTGCACATATCACGCGATCAACTTTTTAGGAATAGTAGGTCAATTTGTACAATGGGGAGAAGGAACCTTCTACCAAAGTAGTTACATATGACGATAAATTTCTATGTACAGAAGCAGCAGTTAGTGAGACTAGAAGTACACAGAATATACAACCAGTCTATGAACAAATTTCTGCAGCTTTTTCTTCAGTCAACGGACTGCTGGTGCGAGGAGTTAGATGACTTTACTGTTTAAGAGCTGTTATGCATATCTGTCAGAAGCCACAATCTGGAGACCCTTGTGCTGGAGTTCCACATACAAGCTACATAAGCTTCACTTTTTGCTGGCCTGACTCGTGCTTGTTTCGCCCTTCAAGCATATGTATTTTGGTTACATGTAGCAATTATGATACGCACGTTTGCCTCATTGGAGTTAGAATCCTTGCAAATCGGAGGGGAACATGTGCTCTCACCAGAGTTCCTTTCTCAGTGTACTCCTATAAAATCAAAAAGAATAAAGGATGAAAATTCTGTCTTTATAATCTGGGATAGTAGGCAACATTAGTACCATTTTGTCAAGTACTCTACATATTACTTATATCAGCTTCTCATGTAGTTCATGGCTATTGGCAGACAATAACCAGAACCCTAGAGCTTATACCGTAGAATAAATTCTCACATATTCCATTTTGCCATCCAATTCTATGTCAGGTCAGTAATAGCTGTTATTTGAAGATTTATGCCCACTGGAACAAAAGGAGCTCGACCCATATCAGTTGTGCATAAAAACTGGGAACTCACCTCAGTACATTCAGATTCCAAAACATTAAATGAAAGATGCTGCAAGTGGAAGGGGAGGGTCAGGAAAAGAAATTCCTAACTGAATGGAAGTGCAAACAAGTTCTCCTAGCAATTCAGCATAATCTCAGATTCGGACTACAACAGCATACCCACAAGTGGGGTCTGGGGAGGGTAGTGTGTATGCAGGCAGACCTTACCCCTACCTTGTGAAAGTAGAGAGGTTGTTTCCGAAAGTGGAAGTCTTTACAAGTAACTAACAAAAATCAGTATCATCTATAAGTTAATTCTTTCCCTATCTTGTTTTTGTATCTTCAAAAATTTACTGGCTTTTCAATATTAGAAATCGCATGCAAACTCAACTGATACCTCACCCAAGGTTCCTAAAAGCTCTATGGAGTGAGTGTTATGGTGATACAACAACCATGCCACAATCCCAAGGTAGCTTTATGGTGATAATATCGAAAAAGAAAACCAATTACTTCAAGAACACTGACATTTTCAAACTTAAGCATAAGTGACTAGAATCTACATTGAGAACAGCTTTAGGGCTGGGGGAGGTCATCACCTTACCTTACCTTGAAGTTTAGAGAAGTAAAAAAAAAAACAAGCAGAGTGTGTATGTGCATGTGGGATGAGTGAGGGGTTAAATGCAATGGGAAAAGACAAATGGAAATGACTAGTACTTTAAATTACTAAGAATATGAGGCTTACAGTTCTCTCAACCATTCCAACATGATGTATGGTACTGAGGAGTTCCCCTTTATCGAATGGAATCAAAGCTTCCACCCATACCATTGTATCCTGCCAAAATTGAAAAGCTCTGTCCATCACAATCAAGCCCTATCTGAAAATATAGATTTTCCCCTAGCTAGGCAGCAAAGTATATGCCTTTTTCTTTTTGAGAAAATAAAACAAGTCATACACCTTTAGCCTATTCTGGATTTCGTTGCAGAATTCATCCAAACCTTCACCAGTTAAAGCAGAAACGCAGACCACATCGTTTTTCGTCTTGGCTTCCAACTTGATTTTCTCAGGGTCCCTAGCTTTATCAACCTGTCAAAAGATGGATAGACGATTATGTTGTAATTTCAGCTTCAGAAGTCAGGATGATCACATAACCAGCAATCTTTATCAGCAAGCGGATAGCTATTGTGTTAAATGGAAAGGAAGGGAAGGGGATACCAGTTTCAGTTTATGCACACAAGATGCTCATCTATTACATTCAGAATTAGAACATCTAGTTTAGCTAGGAAAAGCTATCTTTTTTCAACGTGCACTGAGGTCAGTTAGGAAAGGACAAAAAGGTATATGCTATAGGAAGAAAAAAAATTAAAACAACAAACAACACATCTTGTACAGTAAGCATCACTAAACAACAGCCGACACTGGACAGACAATAAACCGTCAACATTTAACATTATCAGGGAATTGTACAAACAGAAAGGATTGCAGGATTCAACACAAGAATCAAGCAAAACGATTGGCTGGACGAAGAACAAGTCAGTCAACAACAAGATGGCTTTGGATAAGGGAAGTAGAGTGCTCACTACAAATACAACAGTATTCAAACTAAATGACATGCAACACTAATACCTTGTTCCACACCATCAACTTCGGAATTGATACTGTATCCAGTTCTGAGAGAACTTTCTCCACAGCTTCTATCTGTAGCTCTGCTAGTGGGTGACTAAACAAGATGACAAAGATGATAAGAGCTTATGTTGATGTGTATTAAAAGCTCATTATATCAGATAGATCAACTTTACCTGATGTCCACCACATGCACTAAAATTGAAGACTCTGCGATTTCTTCGAGTGTTGCCCTAAAGGCTGCAACCTATTGCAAGAAGAATAGAATAAAAGACCAATTCCATTATATCAAAACTTTTTTAGCAAGCCAACGTTGAAACTTGTCTTCAACGGGAAGATATGAAAGACAAGCTATCTGTTCAAAGTTGCAAGGGTTACCAGAGTTGTTGGTAATTTTTGGATGAAGCCAACAGTATCTGTAAGCAGAAATTCCTTCCCATTCTTCATCTGGCTCAGAAGAGTTTACAACAAGCACAAAACATTACAACCATAGAGATAACTAAATATACTGATTATGCCGAAAAATCCAGATGCACATAATTTTCAGCCAATGAGGAATTTATGTGCTTCAAACGGGCACCAAATATAGGAAACATGTACAAGCAATGAGTTGAGCTGTCTTGAGGATTAATCATCAGTCATTATCCTCACCTGCACCCTTCTTGTAGTAGGATCAAGTGTTGCGAATAATCGGTCTTCCGCAAGAACATCGGCCCCAGTCAACCGGTTAAGAAGTGTACTTTTGCCAGCATTTGTGTATCCAACCTAAAGCAATAAGCACTTTATATATCAATTATCATTCTCTTCAGCATGGTGTACAAACATTCTACGGGAAACATATTCTGTACCAAAGATACAACAGGGACAGGTACAGAGACACGACGGTTCCTGTACTGTTTTCGATGCTTCCGAACAGATTCTAACTCTTTCTTGAGTACACCAATCTGCAAAAGATTATAGTAGTATCTGAAGTTAGTGATGGAAAGGTGTAAAAGTAACCGAAAAAGAAATGTATCCAATATTTACACATTATTTAACACGAAAGAAAGAGTAGAGAAATACAAAAACAATATGGAATATAAAAATATGATAAAAGAGGGGTTATAAATAAAAAGAAAAAGCAGGTTCATCCACATCTCCGGGTAATTACCAATACGAGTCAGGAGTGATGGCAGAGAAGAAATATGATCATGAATCATGATTGATGGATGCACTCCACTAACTTTTTCATTTTACTCAT